GGGTAATCCGGCTGCCACCAGGAAATTTTAAAAGGATTTCCAAACCTTTATGCTTTCTCTATTTCTGGGTAGGTATGTCGAGGGTTTAAGGCGTTCGAGGTACTATGTGGTCCTGGGAAGTATTTCTTTCAGAGTGGGTATATTTGAATAAAAGAGGATTTATTGAAGTAATTCATAAATAAAAGATTAACTCATTGTAACCAGAAAGGCTTAAATACTGAACAAATGATTGGTGTATCACACAATTTTATCTCTTACTGACAGGGATCTGGGCATGTAACTTTGTAACCCTTTTCCCTTCAGGCCATATACGGTTACTGTTTCTTTATACTTCAACTTTTCATAACACACAAGACTCTCTCCTTAGACTTCAGAATGAACTTAACTTAACCCACACAGGGTTGATTCTCTCTCCTCATACACAGAGCTTAACTGATCTTCTGCTTCTCTCACAGAAATCAGAACTAAAACTGCTTAACTAACTCTCTCTGTCTTCATCAACTGTCATATCTCTAACTGTCTCCCCTGAAAGACCTACCTATCATTCACCCAGCATCACTTCCAAAACCCCTCCCCCTCTCTTTCACTCACCAATCACACCACTTGCCTGTTTCAACCACACTAGACTTTCATACAGCCATGCATCCAAACTTTTAAAGTCACACACACACAGTTAAACATGAAATCGTTACAGGCTACAATGATACAATCTATTGCAGTAGAAAAGAGCAACAGTCCATGGGCACTTAGTCTTTTCACTTTGGAGGAAGCTTTGAGCTCACTAAGAGAGACTTTTTGCAGCATTCATTGAAAAATTTGGATATTTTGGTATTTGGCAACCTTGTGCTTGGAAATATCTGTTGAACTCCCTGAGGAAGACCCTGAAATGGGAGGATATCTGGACCTCTTTTGGAGGAAGACTGAGCACTTATTCAAAACAGACTTAAAGGAGTCCTCCCTATTAAAACTTTTGTATATTTAAGGAGGACTGATATATACACACAAAAAAAAATTATGATATATTTTATAATCGTCTGTAGCACGGTATTTGCTCATAAAACGTAATGCCAGGTAAAGTAATACTAGAAATAACTGAAATAGATCTACAGTTAGAATCGGAAATATATTTACTTAATATGTTACCAGATGGGATACACTATAATGATTCATGCTTGATACTATATATATTGACTATGTCTAGAATACTTATAGCAAAATGTTGGAAATCAGACAGAGTACCAAATAGAGAAGAATTAACTATGAAAATTTTGGAAATAAAAGAAATGGATAAGATAAATATGATATTAGCAGGAAAAGAAGAAAATGTATTCAAAAAAAGATGGCAAAAATAGATAGATGAAGAAAAATGTATAAGGGAAACTCCAAAATGTGTTGTAGAGACTTTATATTTTGTTTACTTTTTTGTAATGGAAAATGATAAACTATTTTTTAAAAAACGTAATGCCAGGTAGCGGAGATATCAGCTGTATAAAAAACACAAACACAAAGGGATTTTTAAAACTTAAAATAAAAACATGCTTAAAACATCAGCACTCCTGCAATATTTTGTTTATCTAACAGTGTCTGATAACGGACACCTCTTGCTCTGAATCACTGCGTCAAAATGTCTGTGCTGTTGCAATCTTGAGTATGCTGTTCAGGTGTGTATCTGTAAGCTGCAAACCTACGATGACGCAGCAGCAGAACTGGAAGCAGAAGACAGCCAGTTCCACTGTCGGCCTGAGAGGAGCCCTCCGGGGGCCTGATCTGGCCCCTGGGCCGCATGTTTGACACCCCTAGTCTAGACTCTCAAGAGTCGCTCAAGACAGAATGGGTCACAGCTGAGACACCAGACTAAAACGTGGGCACCCCCCCCCACTTTGGGGACCAATGGCCACATCAGCAGAAGAGAAATGACAGTTCCAGGGATGATGAGGCATCCTCAAAGGGTGGTAGCTACCAGGCAGCAGCAGCCGCCGAAGATCACACTGGTGGGGGATGTTCTGTAGGCAACGGCAGTGCCACTCCCGCTAATGCCGGTTAGTACTGTGCAGAAGGTGGCAATGGCTCACCGCTTCCGAAAACCCTACGATGAGACGATCCGAAATGGAAAAAAGAAATACTGACGAAAGATGAAGCCACCAAGGCCCTCATTTGGCAAGACCTGAGAAAGGCTGTTGACGAGAGTGATGCTCTGTCTTCTTGGTGCTTGGGGGGTGGGGTCAACAGTGGGAGGGACTTCTAATGTCCTGGCCCCACTGCTGGACCTCCTGATGGCACCTGGTATTTCTGGCCACTGTGTGACACAGAGTGTTGGACTGGATGGGCCTTTGGCCTGATCCAACATTGGCATCTCTTATGTTCTTATGTTTTGGAGACCGACGATCAGTCCTTTTTCGTTCCTTTGTGGGCGGGGCTCATCTGAAGACCGCATCACTGCAGTAGACGTGGACCGAGCCACTGGTGGTGCAGAGACCGGACTTAGAGCAGGCGGGTCCACGGATGGACCAGGCAGAGCCACGGAGTCTCCTTCAGGAGCAGCTGGTCTCAGAGCATTTCCCCATAATACCGCCTTTTTTGTTGGGGGGGGGATATTGCTCCCTTCCTTATCGCTGGTGGGAGGGGGTTGTCAGAGCCTGTTTAAAAGTTCATGTGTTTGATGCAAATTCACTCAAGTTTTTTCCGGTATCGTTAAATTGCCGAGAGGTCTTGCATTTTTGCTAAAACTCCCGAACGCTCGACCGGTGTGCGCCTCTAGGTACCATGATGGTACCTTCGGGGCAAAGTGTGCCTCAATCCCTTGGCATTGTGCCTTGGGAGTGGCACTACTCGAGCCCCATGGCTGAGGCCTCCTCTGCGGGGACCCCAGGGGGGAACCGGCACAGCCGGATCCCCTCCTAGCCGCCGCGCAACAGGCCACACCGTACGGAGCTCGCCAGTGCACGCCTGCTAAGCAAGGAGCCGAAACGGGGGGAAAAAACCTCATAATTCCGCCTTTAAACGCATAGCCCTGCCCTCATGAGCTCTGGGCGTTAACAGCTTACATGCTGTACATGTTGAAGTAACGTGCCCTTCTCCCAAACACAGGAGACACGAAGAATGCTGAACGTTGTGGGCCATCTTCGCCCCACAGTCTGAGCATTTCTTGAAGAGAGACATGAAAGGCTGAGGGTTATGGTGGGGATTTTACCTCAGCCTCCCAAGATTAATAACAGAATGATAGGCAGTCGGAGGAGGTTCGTTGCCTCTTTCTCTGATTTACTTTCCTTTGTATTTTCTGTCTTTCACTCTTATTCTTTTTTCTTTTAAAAAATTTTTACCTCAGAAAAAGTCACAGCTCGCTGACACGTCCTCTTTGCTAGGCGGCAAAATGATTCATAGGGCCGCCATAAGTTCGAAGCAACCTGACAGCACTTAACACATACACACTTACACACACACAGCTTGAGGGTGAAGGACTGACGCTTACTAGTTTGGGTGTCATGGTTAAGTGCGCGGACTCTAATCTGGGAGAACTGGGTTTGATTCCCCACTCCTCCACTTGCACCTGGCTGGATGACCTTGGGCAAGCCATAGTTCTGACAAGAGCTGTCCTTGAAAAAGAGCAGTTTCTGTCAAGAGCTCTCTCAGCCCCACCTGCCTCACAGGGTGTCTGTTGTGGGGAGGGGAAGGGAAAGGAGTTATTAAGCCGCTCTGAGATTCCTTCGGGTAGTGAAGGGCGGGGGATAAATCCAATCTCTTCTTCTTCTACCTCAAAGGGTGTCTGTTGTGGGGAGGGGAAGGGAAAGGAGTTTGTAAGCCGCTCTGAGACTCCTTTGGGTAGTGAAGGGCGGGGTAGAAATCCAATCTCTTCTCTTCTTCTACTGCTCTCGCATTTATGTGCCCATTTGCCTGCTATCCATTGATCTTACCGGCCACCTGATCTAATTTCAGCTCCACAGAGACATCTTGGCTCTGAGTGGCCCTTCCTAACGACTGCCCCCTCCTACCTGTAAGTAACCCTTGAAGCTGCGGTGGCTCAAGTGGTTAAGACGCTGAACTGCAGTCTGGAAGGTCGGTAGTTCGGCAGTTCGAGACCCGAGTGGGCCATGATGGAGTGAGCTCCCGTCTCTAGTTCCAGCTCCTGCCAACCGAGCAGTTCGAAAGCAAGAAACTGCAAGTAGATAAATCGGTACTGCTTCGGTGGGAAGGTAACAGCGTTCCATGCGCCTCGGCATCTATTCTTGCCGGCCACATGACCATGGAAAAATCTTCAGACAGCGCTGACTCTTCGGCCTGGAAACAGAGATGAGCACCACATCCCTGGAGCCGGATTCGACTAGCTTTCGAGAAAGGGAAACCTTTACCTTTAGTTTTACCTAAGCCTTGAGGAGATTTTATTCCATTTGTCTGAAGGAGTGTGCTTTGCACACGAAAGCTTATCATCCCCAGCGTTGAACTTTGTTGGCCTTAAAGGTGCCAGCTGGACTCACACTTTCCTCTGCTGCTTCAGACCAACACGGCTACCCCCACCTGAATTTACTGCTCAGGCAGGTGACGAGGAGGTGGTGACGCAGGCCAGCTTCCTCCCAAGTGGGAAAAGGACAGAACTAGATGCACCGCGGCCGAGCGTACCTGAAGGGGAAGACGGAGGAAAGTCATTCCCCGTCGCTGTCCCGCAACAGCTCAAAATCCTACCCGACGAAAAGTAACAAATCCACAGGGGCTGGTTTAACTCATGCAACACGGTTTGAATTTACTTAGAGCACGGTCCCTGACCAGGACAAGCGGTCGGGATATAAAAACGAAGAACCCCTCCTGCCAAGGTTCACAAATATCGAAACGCGACAAAAGAAACTCTCCGCTTGTCAGTTGCGAGACAAGAACATTATTGGGGCGGGGCAGTGACGGTGGGGAGAAATTTATGTCTCGGGGCTTTGGAAAGCAGATGCGACCCCCCCAGTCCTCTCAAACAGCAAAGAGAGATTTCCTTCCAAGGGTTAAAGGTTTTATTTGGGTTTAAGTATACAATAGTTATGGGGCGTTCCACTAGTACAAATAACCTCGCTCAATCCCTTTCAGATTAACTCCTTTAAAACAAGCAAGACACAAAGTCTCTGCGGTCAGGTCAGTGTCCAGTCTAGTCCTGGGCCAGGAACTTAAGCTACGAAGGGGGGGGGGGGTCGTGGTTTCGGAAGACCAGAGTCTGAGGAGTCCCAGTTCAGAAGCAACTGGAAGGTTAGAAGGAAACGTCACTCCTTCCTCCGTGCAGGTGAAACTCCAGATGGTCGGGCCGCCCATCAGCACCGAAACCGCTCCGAAAAGTCGGGAGACTTTGGTACTGTCAGGGGCTGATCGCTAGGCTTGACTTCCACGTTCTGGTACCTACGGATCGGGTTGGCTTTGTGCACCTGAGGAGGAGAAATGGAGAAAGAGAGGTTCCTGGCTGCCCCAGTTCAGATGTTTAGGCAAGGAACAGGCTGGGCAGAGAAACAGAGAAAGGTCATCTAGTCCAACGCCCTGCACCATGCAGGAAATTCACAGCTACCTCCCCACCACCACCACCACCACTCCGCCAAGGCCCTCAGCTCTATGCCCAGAGGAAGGCCAAAAAATTCCAGGGTCGCTGGGCTGATCCGGCATGGAAGAAAATTCTTTCCTGACTTCAAACGGGTGATCATCAGCATTACCCTGGGCATATAAAGAGAGGGCCACGAGCAATGTTCCCTCTAAGCTGTGGAGTCTTGTGAGCAAAAATTCTACCTTGTGAGCTACTGGCATTAAAGTTGTGAGCGAGTGGCTTGGCTACTGCATAATTTAGTTTGCTCTGGAGCCATCCTTCCTGAGCGGAGACAAAAATGTGTGAGCCAGAGGCTAAAAAACTGTGAGCTAGCTCACACTGACTCAGCTTAGAGGGAACACTGGCCACGAGAACCAAGCACTGGCTAGTCCCGTTCCCGCCCTCCCTCTCGTGATCTGCCTGAGTTCACAGAATCCGGACTGCTGTCAGATGGCCCTCTAGCCTCCGCTTGGAAACCTCCAAAGAAGGTGAGAGCCCGCCACCTCCCGAGGAAGCCACCCGTTTCACTGAGGAACCGGTCTGCCAGGAAGTACTTCCTGATATTTAGCCGGAAACTCTTCTGATTCAATTTCGGTCCGTTGGCTCTGGTCCGATCTTCTGCGGTCACAGAAAATAGCTCTGCACCATCCTCTATATGACAGCCCTTCAGATACTTGAACAACCAGGGCCAGGGCTTTCTTGGTGGCGGCTCCATTCTGGTGGAATGAGCTCCCAGTAGAGACCAGGGCCCTGCGGGATCTTACAGGTCCGCAGGGCCTGTAAAATGGAGCTCTTCCACCGGACCTTTGGAGCCGCCGCCACCGCTAAATATCATCAATAGTTAACAGCGGTAGGATAGAGAGCCCTGTGCCCCCGGAATTTTTAACAACGGCCAGTCCTCCAATTGCAGCTGCTGGATGACCTTGGGCAAGCCATAGTTCTCTCAGAGCTGTCCTTGGAAAAAGAGCCGTTTCTGTCAGAGCTCTCTCAGCCCCGCCTACCTCACAGGGTGTGTGTTTATCCCAAGATCGATGGGTGCCAGCCTGGACTGTGCCAGGGTGGGAGGCTGCCTACAAGCCAGTTGAGAGAGGAGGAGATCCATCGGCATTGCTGTATTGCCAGCACGATAACTGTTTTGCGGGGTCCAAAATTAGAATGCCAGTCACCTCCTGTGTGGATCACGGCTGGAAGGGAGCCTTCTTGTTGCTTGTGCTGCCCCAGCAGTGGCGTATAGAATCACAGAGTGGGAAGGGACCTCCGGGGCCATCTAGTCCAACCCCCTGCACAATGCAGGAAATTCACACATCTCTCTCCCCCCCCCCTCCATTCCCAGAAGATGGGGGAGGGGAACCAATGCCAGGATCCCCGGCCAAACTGGCTTGGAGAAACATTGCTTCCTGACCTGAAAGTGGGGATCAGCATTTCCCTGGGCATGTAAGAAAGGGCCACGAGAACTAAGCACTGATCACAGAATCACAGAGTTGGAAGGGACCTCCGGGGTCGTCTACTCCAACCCCCTGCACTCTGCAGGAAACTCACACATACCCCCCCCCACAC